TACAGTACAGAGCCCTGGGTGCATTCATACACACATGGAACCCACCAATCTGATTTTCTTTCTAAATAAACGCACACACACACTCTCACCACCCACCCACACACCCCTTCTTCCCCTGTTTCCTAAACCTCAAACACCCACACTCTGCCTCTTGATTCAATTAAACCACAGTCAAGTCTGGATTGTGACATATACCCCATGGAGGGAAGTGGGAGATGTGTGTGTGTGTGTGTGTGTGTGTGCTTCTTGTGTTTCTTGTGTGAATCAGAACACTTCCTGACCTCTTTTGCCATGGCCCTTCCTGCTCATTGTGGTAATGGATAAGTGACCTTTGACCCCCTAATACATGCTATGCTTGCCTTCCACTGCTGCCCCCATCTCCCCCACACATCTTCTGTTTTTGTGTTCATTCTCTCCTTTCCTTTCCTGTCTGTCTGTCTGTCTGTCTGTCTGTCTGTCTGTCTGTCTGTCTGTCTGTCTGTCTGTCTGTCTGTCTGTCTGTCTGTCTGTCTGTCTGTCTGTCTGTCTGTCTGTCTCACTCACTCTCAGTCTCTCTTCCTTAATGAGACAGGGACTGTCCTCCCTATGGGGAAAGAGGTCAGTGCCCCTGATACACACATACACACACACATACAAATTAACATACAGACGTTGACTGCACACATGCATACACATGCAGACAGGACACATGCAGACATGCACACATCCATGCAGATAAAAGGACAAACCCCCACCAATAATGCCACACACACACACACACACACACACACACACACACACACACACACACACACACACACACACACACACACACACACACACACACACACACACACACACACACACACAGACTGACCCAGAAATCCCATCTCTATTATGCAGAACATCAGTTAGCTGATGGTAGAACTGATTATGCAGCTACCCTCTGCTAGCCCACAACTCCCTGTTGGATATCTGCCTTTAAAACCCCCAATCCCAAATGTCTTTTTAGCATATCAATAGAGAATTATATATTCCCAAACAGTACGACTTGCATACATATAGCTTTCCACAACGTTCTCATCTCAACATGTCACAGCGTGAGCCAATTTAAAAGAAAAATACTAATAGGCAAACATTTCACACTAAAAGCATCCAAAAGTATAATTGAACTGTCACGCTGATGTTGAAATTACAGAGGTTCCCCGTCATGATTTGTTTTTCAGGCATATATTTTATAAATATTGTATAAGCAGGTGCATTTATGTTATTTTCAGATGAAATACATTTTAAACGTTTGCTGTTGGTCATCTCACACGTTATCACTAGTGATTAAACAGACCCTTAATCACCAACAATTAGCAGCTCTGTGCCAACTCTTTATCATACAGCAGGTGATCTGCTTCTCGGAAATGAGCTCAGTTGGAAAATAAGAAAATGCTAAGAATTGTTGAGCCATCACATAAAAACATCAATCTCCTTATTGAATCATCAGCAGTAATAAAAACAGAAACCAAAAACGATTTTGATCATAAAAGAGTTCATAAAACTTTAAGTGGTGTAGGTAAATCAGTTACTGTACGTGTTAAAAGACACTGCTGTAAGAGATATAGAAACACTAACTTTAAATGTATGTTGTAGGGCTGTGGCTCAGCAAGTGGCTCGGGTCACTAACATGTCAAAGATCCTTAACAGGATAAAACAATAAAAAAAAGTGAATGCACAGAGCTGATAGAGGTGCATAGGTGCTTGTTGCCATCAATAGCCGCTTTCACACCAAGTACTTTGCCGTACTTAGTGCCGGCACTTAGTGCCCCGGCACTTAGTGCCCCGGCACTTAGTACCCCAGGGCACTAAGTACTAATCGCGTTCACACCGGAATAAGTTCCCTGAGGGAAGATTACGCAAATGAGCCGCTGACGTCACTTCTTCTTCTTCTGCTTTGGGTTTACTGGCAGGCCGCAAACAACTTCACGGCGTATACTGCCGCCCGAAGTCTATGGCCGGAAGTCCCCGGAGTTGGGGACTGGCTTCAGTAGAAGCTGCTGGGACTCCCAGCAGCTTCCGAGTAAATCGCCAGAACGCCGACACCTCCTCATCTCCACCGCTCCCATGTTTTTTTTTGTGTTGCCATAAGTTATTCTCTCTCCGTTGGTGCGCGGGGCTAATGCTAATGCTAATAATGCTAATGCCACAAATACAATGGCGGCTTCACAAAACTTTTCAGAGTTTTACGGGGCGTGGTTTGCAATTCGCCCAGCCAATAGAAATTGGTACTTTTTTGGTACCACCTCTCTAGCAGGGGTAAAAGTTCCCGGCACTAAGTACTCTTTTTGGTGTGAACGCAACATAAGGGGTACTAACGGAACTAAACGGGAAAAGTACGGGGAAAAGTACTCCGGTGTGAACGCGCCCAGTGTTGGTATAGTTTTGTCGAACATGGACAATATGAATACATCTGGTTTAGAGTTTCAGTACTTTACATTCAGTAATTATGTTATATTGAGTGTTGTGTTTATTGTAGCAGTGTCAAAGCATATTATTGTAAATGTTTCCTGAAGACTTCTTTGTCTGTGAGGAAAGAATACTTCTAGTCATCCTCCTCTCCACTGCACTTTTCCTTTTTCACTGGCCAAGTTCTTCCAAAATGTTCATTTTCCTACTTAAATATTCTTGATTGCGTGTCTCACTTTACATTGAGAAAAATATGGCCTGATGCCACATGTATGAGCTTCAGAAAGAACACCTGACAGTCATTCGTCTTTTGCTGCATACTGCATTTATCTTAAATGTGAAACCTCAGGTAGAATGTGAAACAGTCAGCAGCAGCGCAGAAACTAACTTCAGATCACTCTACAAATACCTTGGCTTGACTGGGTCCCAGAGGGCCGGCTTTATAGATTGGTGCAGTGCAGGGGTGAGGACTGGTGACCCCAACAAAGATTGCTTGCTAAGCAAATAGGCAAAGTAATCTGGCTTGGTGTGTGCGCGCATATGTGTGCTCACACTTGTGTACCTTCCCCATATGCTTGTGTATTTGTCTGCAGATGTGCAGTGTGAGCATATCTGCAAGTGTGTATGTGATTGTTTCTGTGTGTATGTGTGTTGGTGTGTGTGCTTGCCTGCTCGCTCATGAGGAGCTGAGAATGTGGTCCCTTGTTGCATTTTCATTGATAATGCCATGCATTGCCACTCTGCATGTTTTAGCTTGGTAATTGAAAGGCCATCTGCGGTCTACTGGGGAGGTTTAGTAAAGGGTAAACTACGAGGCTCATTATTTTAGGAGAGGGCAGCCCTTGGAGGCCCAAAGCAAATTAGTTTGTGTCCAGTTTAACCTTCAGAAAACTCAATTACAGTAGGTAGGGTGTATGCATGTGCCATATTTATGCATGTTCTTTAGGAGTTTGTGCACACTTGCATACATGTTTTAAAACAACAGTAATAAAACAAAGTCAAGCTGACCTGTAGTTCTGGCAGAACAAAAGCAGCTACTACTTTGTCAAACAGACATTGTTGTCGTAACCAAAACTTGGTACAACAGCACACAAAACACAGAAAATTGATTAGACATAGTGAGTGTGTATGTGCTGGTCTGCCTTTGTAAGTCTGCTAGGTCCATAAACATGGAAACAGACATGACCTGCATGTCTCAGCAGTTTCCTGTGTAAGACGAGCTCTGTGTATGTGTGCGTCCCCATGGTTCTCCTGTCACTCCTCGGCCCTGCACAGCAATGCTTTCCACTCTATTAGTGTCTCAGTGTCTGCACAGCAGCACATGTGTATCTGCCTTTACATATATGTGTGTTTCCATCTGTCTCCTGTCACCAGCAGTCCTCTCAGCAACATTAGGACCTGTTAAGATCAAGGGTCATTTCTCGAAAGGTCAAAGTTCACCCTTCAAAAGGTGAAAAGCCACCAGGGTCAGGTCTGGTGTGAGGTGACATTTAACAAGCACACAGCTGAATGCTTGACAACTCACACCTTTGGGAACTTAGAGAACATCCCAAGTGGAAAACAATTCAATACAAAGACATACCACAGTCCTCTTTTATAGGCAAAGAGACATGGGAAACTGCCCTAAGAGATAAGTGGTTACTAGGGGTGTCACGATTTCATTTTCGTTTTCTTCCAGAGTTGACTATAACATTGTTGTAGTCTTGATTTGTGCATTCCAACAGAACGTCGGTTTACATTGGGCCCTGACATAATAATATTTGTTCACATACATGCTTTAATTAGCTGCCAAATAGTTGCTAAATTGCACCACAGCTGCTAAATAATGTGTTTACTAGAGGGATATTAGAAGAACAATAAACATGTAAGTACAAAGGATGAGGGAGAGCCCCATGAGAAATTACTAATTTAGAAATGTCTTGTGTCGGTCTGTATTGAAAAGAAGACTTGAAAGGAGAGGAAGTCCAAGTTCACCCTGGCATTAAGAATAGGGGCTGCGCGGCTTACAATCACAGACATCCTTTAACATCCACACACAAACACACCCGCACCCTTGCACTTACAAACTTGCACAGCAGCACACACTGACAAATATCTTGCCCAAGTACAAAGTCAACTCATTCAACCAGTCCGGCAGTTAAAAACAAAGTTTTTCCCTCCAGCTAAACTCAAGCCTGACCATAATTGAGTCAGTGCTTTCAAGTGATTTTATTGAATTCCCCTTCACTGCTGTATTTTTATTGTTTTTACTTAGTTTCTTTCTATACTGCCGCACTATGTTTTATTGTGTGTGTTTTAATGTCTGATACCTTGGGAAGACTGGGGAAATAAATGTCATCATGCACTGATACATTCTTTTTCTTCATGTGTATTTTGGAGCATCGTGATGACATTTGCTGCTTCCCCTGCTGGGATATATACAGTGCTAAGATATGGTTATGGCAATGAAACTGCAGGGCTTAGAACTAGTGCAATTACTTATCTCAAATCTGATCAAAGCAAAAACATAACCAGATTAACCATTAATGACCATCCATAACTACAAAACAGGCATGTGCTATACTCACATTTTGTCTACATTGGTCCTTCATCATCGGTGGTTATTGCTGCACAGCCATGGGTAGTGGTGGGTTGGAAATAATGTATCTATAAGAGATGAAATAAAAGAAAACATGAATAGATATGTGCTATACAAATACCCTGACAATTCTCCTTCTGTTACGCATCAATATATTAACCCTAGCTCAAATGAACATTCATATGGATAAACAACATTACAAACAGGATACACTGCCAAGGACACATGAGGACACAAATACACATAACTTAGACAGACATAATGAATAATGGCTAATATTTGGCTCTGAGTAGATGTTATCACAAAAGAAGTAATGATAAAGCCGAGAGGCACTCCTGCTGCTTCTCTTCTTCTGTATTGAAAATGAACCTTGGTTGTCAAGGAACATTTCTGTATAGTTTGGGATCCTTTTGTTGAATTGACAAAAGCCAGCGGTGCACGCGGTTATCAACAGACAGTTATGTTACTCACAGTAATCGTCAAAAGACTTTCAATCATAGCATCCTCCATTTCCCAACAGTGCCTGTAGATCACTCCCTCCTTGTGTGTGTCTATTTTTCTGACCTGTTACCATTTCAATAATATCCATTGATAGAATGGTATAATATAGACACAGAAGAGTGTACTGGGTATATGATTGGTTTAACAATAGTATGGCTACTACCTCTGCCTCATTTGTCCATAAGCAGTATCTCTGAGAAATGGTTTAAACATGTTGTGATCGTTTCTTGATAGTCCAGATATGTATTGGTTTTACCCTGAACTTCTCTCATCGGTGAAATCGCAAAAACTGTGAATTTCCCCCTAGCCCACACACGCATAAACCCCTTAAACCCCAGTTTGTGCGTGAGTGTGTGAGAGTGTGGGTCTGCATATGTATGAATGTGTGTCCATCTTCTATCCAGTTGAACAGGATGTAGGAGGTTAAAGGAGAGGGTCAAAGGTCAAAGCCTGACTAAATAATTACCAGATACTCTTTTGGACGACACACACACAAACACACAGCTTCACGACTATAAGGGTTGTTATTTTTGAAATGTCTGGACAGTCTCTTCCTCTGTGACCCCCTTAGGCTGTGCACACACCTACACCTATACAAAAACACACACTTGAACATGCTCTCTTTTCCTCCCTGTCTGACTGGCCCTCACACACCCCACCCCACCCTACCCTCACACACACACACACATACACACACACACACACACACACACACACACACACACCACACACACACACACACACACACACACACACCACACACACACACACACACACACACACACACACACACACACACACAAATAATGTCCAAGCCTGGACGCTTGTCCCTCTGACAGGCTATCAGTCAGGAAACAGAGGGGAGAAAAGGAGACGAGAGCAAAGGCGCGAGAGGCAGAGTGGCTAGATTTAGCCTGTCAGTCACAAAAGGTCAAGGGTCGCACTGAAAGCCCATTGACATAAATGCACATATGCATGTGTGCACTCACACACACACATACAACAGTGTTCATCAAAACAAGGTCAGAAGTGGAGGGCAGACAGCTGGCTAGGTTTACAGAGAGAAAGAGAGAGAGCAGACAGCTGGGTAGTTTTACTAGCGTCTGCCCTTTAAATAGAGACTGGAAGAAAGTTTAAAGAGGGCACAAGTGAATGTTTACAGCAGGGCATAAAGGTGCAAGCACTTATTTCAATTGTTCTAAATGGGCTTAATATCGGTAACATGGCCTCTAGAATTCATGAGGGAATCATTTGATCAGCCATAATAGGATTTAATCAGATGAAACCTTTTGTGTTACTATTTTCGCCACAAGCTTAGCCCTCTGTTTTGCATCCTTTGTAAAATAGTTAAAACAAAAGGAAGGAAATAGGAAAAACTTCTAATTACATGAATCAGTCTGGACCGCGACACGTCAATTCACCTCCTGTTTCTGTACTGAAAAATCTTCTGTTCACACCCAGGTAATTAGCCCAATAATAACTAGAATTGGCGCAAGAAACCTAGGCAGGAAACCTACTCACAAACAAATGGTCTTATCTACACACATAATCACTAAAACTGCACATACTCCACAAACACAAACAATGTCATGGATTCCGACAGGTAAGGTTATACACGGACAGACTCCCATTTACCACATGGACCGCTGGTCAGGTATTTGTGCTCACAAGCTCTGGCCAAGACAAATTAGACCTTTATTGTCTCTGACTGCTAGAGAATGTGGCTATGAGGGGAGAGATAAAGGAGTTGGGGTCAGGTGGTGAGAGAGGGTGAAGAAGTGTGTAGTAATAAAGGTTTTAGAGGTTGATTCCCAGAATGGGCTTCTGTTATCATGGACTCTTTGCAGCGACGGTTACATTTTTCTCTTGTTTTCATTTGGTGTTGTTTGAGTCTGTGAAGGTCTTGTCTTTAACTGATTCGACATATGATTGCAGAATCTAAAGGCAACAGGACTTATGTTGGTGTGGGATGCGTTCTGGTTTCTATGGTGGGTTGACCATTGACATTGGAGCAGGCTTTGGTTGAATACAGGCACACAGTCCACGATGAAAGCAAAAGAAGCAGAACCCATTGGCTGAAATTGCATTCCCTGAATCCATTGGCTATCAAATGACAATGTAGCTTTTTATTAGCTCACAATTAGCTTGTTCACTGGCCTATTTGAAAGTATCCTCTTGTAGACATCCTGTCACTACTACTCCTTTCTCGCATCTCGAGTTGTGAATCGGACTGTAAACAAAAAGCAGGTTAAAATTGTCCCTGGCTCTTAGAGGCTTAACGTTATTTTTAAATTATTTGTTTAGTAAAGCTAAATATCCCTGTTTGACACTGATATGCCCCGAATAGACCGACTTGACAGATGATTTGAACAGAACATTGTAAACTCTTCATACTGCGAGTACTGTTTGAATCACTACTATAGAATATACATTTGCAATTGAGGGTAGCAAAATGTAATTTGTATGAAAATGTCCTGTGAGCCACTTTGCATTTGTTGGTCTTCCCAATAGAGTTTGTTTTGATGGAAAACCACTTTCACCTGCAGGGACCCCACATGGGGCCACAAGCCCCCAGGCTAAAAAAAGTCTGAGTAATGTGATCAATCAGTGCAACACAAAGAGGGAGGCCAGACTGAACAACATGGGTGGTCAAGGTAGAGCAGCCAGGTGGGTCAAAAAGGAGGACCCGAGGAAAGGAGAATGGAGTAGAGCATGTGGTCAACACAGCGGGAAACACAGTGGTCATTTCACCCATGGACACACAGATATACACACCAATTGATAGACTTACTGATAAAATGAAAGATGCATGGTTAGCCAAACATGGAGACAAACAGCGAGACCGGCCAGAAGCCAGATGAACAGATAGGGATGCATGCAAGGCTAAAGTCACACACAGAGACACACACAAACAAAGACAGACAAACTAGTCCACCTAGCCAGACAGGCTGAGTTTGTCTTGCCTGTGGGGATGATCAAGGGTAGGCTGCGATACACAGTGATTTGTATTATTAATGTTGCGCTGTCTAGGTCATAAAAACGACTTCTTTCTTACATCTCATGTAAGAGTAATGCTTTCCTTATGATTTTATATTATCATCTCATCCCCCAACCCACCATTGATCATGTGTGTCTAGGAGAGGTGAATAATAAGTGAAGGTGTGTGTGTTTAAAAATTCAACAGAACATTAAACCGTATAAAAGTCGACATATTCGATGCAATGTAGGTATAGAATAGATATGAGGTGGATATGAAAAAAATCAAGGGTTAATATATCATTTGCAAGATCACTTGTATTTTTTATAAGGTTGTGTCAAGTATACTAAAAAAACCATTCATCTAATAAGTAATTTCATCGCTCATGCAGCCTTCAAGCTTGTGTGGGACTACTTTCAATGCCGCACCTGCCCGCAACACAGTTTCTAATAAAACCTGGCCCCATCCCACAGGACACATAAGACACATAGCATTATGGATGTTTTTAATCTAAAGAAATGCTAATACAGTTGCTTAGGTGTTTGTTAGATGATAAGTTAGAGGCAGAAGTAAAACATGAATAACAGCTTGCACTAGCTTAAGGCTATTGGAAGTAAAAATGCATAACAATAATGTTGCATCATGTGCTTGGTTCTCTAAGTCCATGTTGTTTCCAATGGTAATAAATACAAATGAGAGCTTAGACCATCACATTTCAGATCAACTTGTTAGTATTACTGCAATGAAAACCTCTCACAATATTTTATGAGATTGTGATGAATACACTTTACAGAAAGCAATGCTAGACCCATTAATAATAGTTATATAACAAAAGTAACCTACCCCAACAATTCCATAAAAAGTCATAGAAAAACACATTTGATTACCAAAACAAACGCATTTCCTCTAAGCCGAATAGAGAGTGAAGGCCAGTTTAACAGGGTTAGTATACTTAGCTAGCATGCAATTTACGTTTGTGCATTGGCTGTTTTTAGGCCAATAAACACAAATGGCATGCAATGATGTGAAGCGATTATTTTCTTTACTGTCTGTTTGAACACCCCTTATTGTATATTATATATATACTTATATGTTTAATGAAGTGCCAAATGTGTTCTATTAACCACTTTGTGTATGCGTGTATTCATCCACTGTGTCATATTTATGGCTTCATATTTGACAAAAAAATATGTTTTACTCTGTTTGCCTTGAATGTGAACAAAACACTTACAATGGCTTCCAGTGTTCTTGCTTGTGTAACGGTTTACCTCTGCTCAAAGATGTCCTTATTCTGTATGTCTGATTTAGTCTAAATCCATTTATATTCCCAGTCATGAGATATTTCTAACATCTAACATACTTTCTGCACAGCTGCTCCACCAGAGACCTACAGTACCAGAGTACAGTGGCTACTGGCTAGAGCACTGTTATCTGTGTATTCATGTTTAACTGAGCCAGACTATAATAGTGCGTTATTACGATGTGGTGTGACAATCCAATCTGATGGCAGTAAAAGCTCCACCCAACCACACTGGGAGTGGAAAGATTTCATGCAAACAGCTTTTCTCTTGCTAAACCAAGCAAGGGGAA